GTGGTGTTCTTGGAAATCTTTGCGCTTTGTTCTTCTTTGGGAATTCATTTATCAACTTCTCGTTCATAACTGATCAGCAACTATCCATGATACTTGACCGCGAGAACTGACGCTAAGGCTGAAACTTTGTTCCCAATGAAATGAGCCAAGCATGCGCTCGTGCTGCCGCCGTATTCACCGAAAGGCAGCGATTACTGCGCAGACTGAATTCTCCTGCGGATTAGGATGTTATCTCTCTATATATAAACCAGAAGTTGTTTGTTTGTCTGTGCGTCTGTCTGACCGCCTGAAATTTGGGGTTTCGTGGAAATTCACTTCAAGGGAACTGATTGTGCTTGGGATAAACGCGGCATGGGCCAGCATTTGCAGAGCACACACAACCTCACCTAAGCTCCGCCCACAATGGGCGGGGCTTTCGCCAAAGTGGACAAAGCCGAGGATAAAAATCCTCAAAACGCATACGGAGCAGACCGAGAAACGGGGAATATGAGTGAAACTGAGCAGCGGGTAGGTAGATGAATTGAGAGGGAGACACCCGTAAGCAGTGTATGGTGTACCAAACGGTTAGGGCCCCCAGCAATAGTTAATTCTGCGAATCCTCAACAAAGAAGGGTTTCCTATAGAAAATTCGACGACTGTCTCCTGGGGGGGGGGGTGGGGATATATACTACGCCACTGGACGATAATCCGTCATCCACACGCGAAGGAGGATCGCCGCCGAAAGCGGCGATCCAACTGGGCCTGTCAGTAAGAAATGCTAGGCGAACAGCAAGCTTCACTACGTAACACGAAGGAGGATCGCCCGCCTTCGGCGGGCGATCCGAGATCCGATCCTACTATATATAAACGGCAACGTCTGTTTGTTCCGTCTGTCTGTCCGGAAATTCGGTTCAACCTGAAGAGCCAATTTGACGCGGGTCAGGGTGGGTTTTGGGTAAGGGCATGGGTCAATATGTAGCTGGAAAACAACACATCGAAATGAAGTTAAGCCCCGCCCACTATGGGCGGGCGTGCTTAAAACGATTTGTGAGCTGCTATAGTTCAAGAATTCGTATTACGGTTCAGAAGATCCGGAGAGCGAAACTGGGAAACGATAAGCAGTCAGTTGGCGGATGAAATGAGGGAGTCACACCCGTGATGGGCGAGGCGTGCCATAGGTGGGCGGTGCTCGCTACAGAACTTTCAAAAATTCGTAATTCGGTTCCAGAAGACCCCGAGAGCTGAAATTGTGGGAAACGATAGGCAAACAGTTGGCGGACGGAATGAATGAAGCACACCCGCGATGGGCAGGGCGTTCGCCGAAGTGAACGGTGCCGGGACAAAAAACCCCTCAAACATCCGAATAAAACTTTCCAGAAAATGGGGAGTAATGAAACTGACAGCAATGGGTTGGGCAGATGAAGTTTAGTGTAGGAATAACCGTCAGCGGTAGTAATACCAAATATACCAAATAGTTGGTGCCATTTATTCTGCGCTTCCTCATCAGTGACGGGATTGCGGTATAGAAAATTTTGCTGACTGTCTTCTAAGAGAGAGAGAGAGAGAGAGAGAGAGAGAGAGAGAGAGAGAGAGAGAGAGAGAGAGAGAGAGAGAGAGAGAGAGAGAGAGAGAGAGAGAGAGAGAGAGAGAGAGAGAGAGGAGAGAGAGAGAGAGAGAGAGAGAGAGAGAGAGAGAGAGAGAGAGAGAGAGAGAGAGAGAGAGAGAGAGAGAAGAGAGAGAGAGAAGAGAAGAGAGAGAGAGAGAGAGAGAGGAGAGAGAGAGAGAGAGAGAGAGAGAGAGAGAGAGAGAGAGAGAGAGAGAGAGAGAGAGAGAGAGAGAGAGAGAGAGAGAGAGAGAGAGAGAGAGAGAGAGAGAGAGAGAGAGAGAGAAGAGAGAGAGAGAGAAGAGAGAGAGAGAGAGAGAGAGAGAGAGAGAGAGAGAGAGAGAGAGAGAGAGGGAGAGAGAGAGAGAGAGAGAGAGAGAGAGAGAAGAGGAGGAGGTAACACAAGCATTGAAACGGTAAAGTGCGGTAATTCTCAAAACAATTTTTTTCGACGATCCGATTGGCCCTCCCTCTCATGGAAAACTTCTCACCGGGACCCCACTTCACACCGGGAAGGAAGGATCGGCAAGCTTCGCCGCGCGCTCCGACGTGGTGTTTACATAAGCAGCACACTTCACACGCGGGAGGATCGCCCGCCGAAGTCGGGCGATCCGATGTTTACATAAAGAGCACTAACGCTTTGAGGCCAAGGCCAGCGGCGAGAGAGTCTCAGTCGCTCACTCTTCACTACCCGTTCACCTACTATGACTGTGATCAAAACTGATTACTCTTACAAAACAATACTCACCTCCAGCCGACGTTTGCGTATATCCTTATAGACAACTTTTTCGAACGCGCGATCGTTTTGCGGCGGAGTCTTCTTTGTTACGACAACTAAAAATAAACATCGGAGAAACAACCAGTCACATAAATACAAGGCGGTCGATGCGGGCTACGTAGCAGCACAATCAAAGCAGCTCGTCTGCATGGTGGAATGGAGATGGAATGCTCCCGACATGAGCTGAATCGCTAAGGGCCCGGAGTGTTACCGCTCTCCGAAAGCGCAAACAACCAAAGTAGTCGTAGCGTGGTCTTGCCGTGTGCTCCTCCCCCTCAACTTGTTAATTATCAAAGATAAAGGATAAAAAGGATGAAGTCTTCGCCGTTGATCAATCCCCTTTTGGATGCGGCACGCATTCTACTTCCATTCAGAATCGTAGTGGCTTATTGAATGCGATGTGGCCTATACAATGACTTGCGGGGGCCAGCCGATGTACAAGTCAGTGTTTTATCCTCCCAGACGAATCTGGTACCAATTTACCGTCCCTGAAGTGTAGAAGGCATGGTGGCTCAGCCTGGACCATGCGGGGATCGCATCTCGGAACAGCTAGGATCAACCATAAACAAATAAAAGTTATATGAAAACCAACAAATAAAGCTGATCTTACCCCAGAGTTTCTTACGGAGATGATCGGGAACAGGACCCTTTCGCTCTAAAATGCTTCTCAAATGATTTTGACAGGTATGCATTGGTAGTTTCATGAGCTGAAATAACACTTTCCATCATCTCAGTGAAAGTGACGAAAAGTCTTGGGAATTTTCCACTTACACTTCCTATCAGCTTAATAGCCGAAGCTGACAACCCATAAATTCTGTAGTATCGTAGAAGTTTATTCGTCTCTTGCAATGTCCAATTGTGCCTGAAGTACTCACAGTTGAAGAACTAGTTCACCATACAACAAGACAGGGAGCAAGCCCGCTGATGGTGGCATGTTGTTACATCCTGTCAACATGCCGGCCCTTCTTGTAAAGAGCAGCACAACGATTGCAAAGGTACCCTTCACTTTAACACCATTTATTCGCTATATTCTGGGCTTGAGAACAAGGAGCTTCGCCTGAGTTGAATGAACAAAATATAACAAAATATGAATTGAAACTCTTAGCATTTCATAGATTCACAAGTCTACCGGCCGTTGAAAAGGCCTGACATATTGATTGTAATAGGCAATATACTACCCCCCCCCCCCACGTGCCCAGCTTAGCTGAGTAGCGTCAGTAAAGTATCGCCTTCAAGAAACTGACATAAAATAAGGCAGAAATCAGATAAATAGGATCTAAGATAGAAAAACTCACGTTTTCAAATAAGCCACTTCTGCATGTCCATTCAAAATGGCGGGGTCGAACAACACCTTCATTCGAGTGCGAACCTGTTGCGCGCTGCGGTGAGGCAGCTTACGACCTGAAATTTCGAACCCACTTGAAGGATTCCAAAAAAAAAAATTCGAAAGAGAAAATGTAACAGATACAAATGTGAATTCATACGTCAACGAGAAATCTCAGCTCAAAAATGCAAAAAAAAAACATCATTCTCTCAGTGATGTTGCAAAGGATCACAGAGATAATGCTACTCATGTTTTCATTTTGTTAATGATTTTTGTTCGGTCAGTGCTAGATGCTATAATTCCCCCACTCCCTCAGGTGAACTGTACTGGAACTAGTGTTGCACTGTAAAAAAGTGCGGAATTTTAGAAAAAAGCAGAATAGCCGAATCGTCGACGCGCGGACGATTAACACAATAACACAGATTAACAGCAAACCCCGCGTAGATAGTGCCGTTTATTCAACCTATGATGGACAAGCGACTCTTGCGGTACGAGTTCTCCGACTGGCTTGTTTTATGGCAGCAAAGGGATATGCTGCATCTGGCTCAGTAATTGTTTCCTCGCGTCATTCATTGCTAATACCACTTAACTGTAGAAAAAAAACTATAAAAAGTGAACTCGGGACAGAAACGTAGCCTTAAAGTTTCGGTAAGCGGAACGAGTAAAGCGGCGTTGGAACGGTCACTTTTGAGAGCCACGGCGCCTTCTCTGCTTACTATTGAATGTGAGACAACAGCAGACTGCGAAGCAGACTATTTGAACAAACTGGTCGAGCGCGGAGACTGCCTTTGAAGTAGCAGTGATCTAGTCGTCAAGAATTACGTCAAAGCATCTGCAGGATGTCAAACTTCTACGACCCGAAAGCACTGCATTTCACTTGTCGACCGAATAAATCATAAAGTTGTAGGAAAAAAACGGATTCCAGAAAGTGGTGCTGAGAAACTAAAACCTTCCAGGCCTAACTGTATCAGAGAATGCCGTTGGCTTCATTAGAAGAATGAATTTGTTTCTAGGTGGTAAATGGTGGTAAACTAGAAAGACACTGCTTTCGACTGGTCGTAAAAATCGAACAGTATTTTATCAAAAACTGCAATCTCGAGCGATCGTGACGCAGGTCAGCCTTTTGTCTGTTAATTATAACCATAAGCGCATGCTCTTTTCTGTCAAGGTCCTTACTGAAGATAAACTGTATGTATTTGTTGTAAACACCTTCTGACAGACCGAAACCACAGGGTTTAAGGGTGTAGCAAGCAGAAAGATTCGCATCACGACCTAATTGACCAATGGCCACATTAGTGATTTTTTCTGCTTGCCTATAACTGTTATTCATGGCATCAGAAATACCTACACATTTTTGGCCAAAATTTAGTTGTTATGTTGAAATTCACACGATCTTCCAAGGAGCCGAACATTGCCTTAAAATAAATCGGTATCGGTACAATCAGACACATCGATACAGTAAAGAACATTACCTGGAATCCCGGAATACCTGCATAATTCGCCGCCAGACCGTATTCCAAATTATGCTTAGCAGCGAACCTGAATGATGTATGGGAAAAAATCGGTAATGCGATACAAATCAAACCGGGCGCCAACGGGGAGGATGGGGCCACGTGACATCCCCTTTTTGTGACTCTGAGAAAGTGGATGCCGACTCTAGTTGTCAATGCCCTTTCAGGTACAAGCCTTTGCCCCCAACTAGCACAGCATCGTAAACTAAGCAATTTTCACTACCAATGAAATGGAGGAAGTTTTTCGGGTTCATTAAACGAGCCAACCTTTTCCAGTTCTTCCTGATTTGCTCATCTTCAGCAGGTGTAAATCGAGATCTGGGTGCATAGGGTATACCTGAATAGCGTACTAACGCCTAAATCACATCATAACGAAAGCTCAAAGAAAACTTGCCATGTTCTCGAAGACGTTCTACCTCAACGCGAGTCAAAGGCTGAGGGGTGCTATGGTGAAATAAGAAGCCCCCTTCAGTGTACAGGCCAGTATCTGGCATACGAGGCGGTTTCCCCCTCCTCATGACTCTGATATCTTCTTTCTAATTGTGCTAGATACCACATTGTAATGTGGATGATGCGTGAGAGGTTTTAGAAGTAACTCTACATAGTAGTAATAATTATATGCATAAACGGACGATGGGCGTACGACAGTTGGTACACAACTCGTATTGGAAAAATCTTCATAAAAATCATGAACAATCATCTCAAGAACAAAGCCCGCAGAAAAAAGAACTGAACCAAATAAATGCAACTTTATGAATAAGTATCTATAAAAAACCCGTGGAATAGAGAAAAGGTAGAAAATCTCTAGGAAATCACAGTTTTGCGGAGAAAAAAGTGAAAAGAGTTCAAAGCAGCATGCCAACGGTAGAGCACTTTGGCTTCGCTGAGACTTTGCTGTGGAAGAATAGGCGATACGATAGGCGAATCGACGTTTTAGTAACATGCGGGTCAAAAGGAAGCACAGGATCATTCTGGCGTTCCGGGAGAATAGAATAACGGGGGGACTTGCTAGTCGGCGTAGTAGGTGTTCCGCTCTTCCAAGGTCGATTCACCGATGTCTTGTTCTCCTAATTTTCCATCGCAAAGTATGGGGGTAAGATAGACAGATAAGCAGACTCAATGAGGATATCGCATCTACGAAGTACTACTTAACATCATAGAGTTGAACAAATAAGATGATCGTACCCCCATTCGTTCCAGCGTATGCCAGGGAACAACTTCATTAAAAAAGAGGCGTTATCAGGTCAGCTTGACCTGCTCAAATATAACGCCTTGGATATACTCGCCAAGTGGTCTTGCACTGAATCTCATTTGGAGATAATTGTTCTTGCAGCGGAAATCAGGCAGAACATGAAGACGAACATCGAAACGGGTGAAGAGCTTGAATCTGAATGACAGAACCAAAAAATCATGCAACATCACTATGAACAACGACAGAAGCACATACCTGCACCTTCGCAAACCTCTGCACTCCAAACTGATGGGAAACGAAGAATAACATTAAATGGCCACAGTGCAGCACTAGGTATGCAGAGCGCCTACAAAATACTTGCTGAGAAACTTTACCAGCAACTATTAACCATGGTGAGCAGCAAACTTTCCATACAGATTAAGTGTTACTACAGTGATATACAAGACGAAAGCTCCACAATTTATTCGAAAGAAATCAAATTAGCCTCAAAAATACTCTGTTACCTAACGGTAGCGCACAGCACCTTCCAAATACATTGTCCGGTAAGTGTACAAACAGCCTAGTACACTGCGGACGGAGGGTGGGTCAGGTGTGATGGGTTTGGCGCGGTGCCAAACCCGTTCTCCAAAAGTTGTTGAAGCGAGCAGTGACAATACTGTATCATTTCGTGCGCATCACTCGTTCTACTAGCTGCTGTCGTATAATACATCCGCTTCAAAGTGTGGCAGAGAATGGAGTTGGGGACGCACACATACTGCCTGACACGCTTTTCGTCCTTAGCGTACTCGGATATACCCTTATAGTTGCCTGACCCACACTGGTGAGTTTTCACCACTGCAACACAGCTAACTTGAGATCCTGCGGTTTGCGAAAGGAGCGGGAGTTCTATTCCTCACCATCCATTCGACTACTAGGTGACATATTGGGTTACTGCTTTAAAAAATTTCGTACACTGCAAAGCGTCATGTGTTCGCCAACAATGCACGATACCACGACACGGGGGGTACAGCACAGTGAAACAGGAAAACCCACGAAAAGAAAAAAAATAGGTAATTTTTTCACCAACAATGAGGGTAGTGTGCGTGAAACAGGAAAAATCCACAAAGAAATTTATTATCAGGCCGAATGTGACCCCCTTCACCCAGCGACCAAATGAAAACCCAAGCTGGGTATTCCCTGACATGCGACATTCCCCTGCACATTATGTAGCGCCCACTTTGATTTGATCGGTAAAAATAACTTACGTATATTCCTGAAACGATATGGAGGAGCGCCAAAGCAACTGCTTGCGAAAGGATTCTTACAACCAGATCAACCTTTGCGGGCGATGACTGCTTCTTATTATCCTCAGAAACTGCAAAAGGCGAAAGTATGATGACCTATAATCAGAAGTAAATCATTAATGAACCTGCCTGCAGCATCGTATTGCTCAATAGTCTTGTTGAGAACCCTCTCAGTTTTGAAATATGCAGAAAATTCGGATGTTGGGGAGAGATGGGCCAGTTCTCCTTTGAGTCTCTTCACCTCGCTACCCAATCGTAGAACTTCAGGACTGGCTTTAGGTTTGACAAATGATTTCGCCTAAATGCGAGGAAATAAAATGACAAATGCACGTCCCTATAGAATAACAGCAAAAATGGAAGCGGTAAGGGCCCTAACGTAGTTAGACGAGGGGGGGGGGAGACAATGCGCCACCACCTGCGTAGTCCTTTCTTGCTGTAATGAAGGTTTGGGCTTAGAAAACTGTCTTTTGCGCGGGACTATTTCTAGGAAACTGTAGTAGTATGTGCCAGGGATACACAGGCGCTGCCGAATGGTCCCAATATTCTTGTCTCTGACGACAACGGAAACTTACTATCCCTTCTTAACCTGTTACGGTCCTCAAGTCAACCAAAAGTCCACACCAGGGCTATTACTTATGATAAACGGATCAGTAATTATCTGAGCACTATTCAAATACTACCACCCCAAAAACTCAAAAATTTGGTGGATCTTTACTCAATAGGGTAGTTTGATGTCCTGATCACGATCACGATCATGCATGACATTCATTTTACAATAGTGCCCTTTAGGGCCACCGCTTCCCTCACCAAAATCGGTTTAAGCTTGCATACTGTGGTTATTCGCTACCCCGATCACGAATCTGTCATTCATTTTTAGCGCTGGCGCCATTTGGCACCGTCAGCTGCTAATTTGCGCCACCATTAGCGCCATTTAGCGCTCTGCTAAGACGGACAGAGAAGTGATTCCCTTCAGGCCAGCCTCAGCCTTAGCAAAGCAGATGATGGTCCTCCATTAGCGCCAGCGCGAAGAATGAATGTCATATTCGTAATCAGGATGTCAAATAGCCCCCATATACAAGTTTTCAGCAGATCTGGTGCCAGGTGATACTTGCGGTATTCGTAGTATGGATGTCGAGCTACCCTAGAACCGACTTTTCAGCGAAGTCCCTTCCCCCTAAGAAAGAAGTCGGTCAAAGACTAGGCTATATTTGGAAGATTGGGGCAGTAGTAGCTCAATAGAGCCATTCCCTTACTTGTAGTTCTCGCCATATACAGCAAACACCACTGACCCCTCCCCACTTCCCCTCGCCTCCCCCAGCTACGTGAGCGCCCAGATATGCTCGTTTAAAAATGAAAGATCGAACGGAAAACACTATTTGCGCATACCCAATTTGAAACTTTTGACGTGATACTGCGGTGGAATGAGAAGATCAGTGCGACGGTGGCCACAAGAAGCACCTCATAACCATTAAAAAGCGATTCAGATATGCAACCATGATCGGAAGAAATATGACAGAAAGACTGGTTACTACTAAGTTCCTCCAGTGATTCCATCCTTTCTTTCTCCTGAATTTACTACCGTTTCGTATGAGAGACAAATGGTCACGAAAATGAAGAATCATTACAAAATAGGCAAAAATTTCTATAAAACCCTGGCGCGTTTTAACGAAAACAGCATGAACCACTACTTCCGGCGCAAGCGCGTGGTCGCGTCGCGGTTTTATCATTGGGACACATTTGTAGAAAATTACCCACCCTTATGATCTATGCGGTTAAAAGCGCCCGCTCTGGTTTTACGAAAATGAGGAGTAAGGGAAATCGCCTAAACATGGGTATAGTGTCGATTCAAAAAATCGGAGAATCGTGGAATCGAAACAAAGCTGCTGCAACAAAAGCCGGCATTGTCACAAGAGCAGATATTTCCAACGTCTCCTGTATTTTTTTCTTGAAAGTCACATCCTTCCTGCAATCTATCCTGTCAGGCAGCTCCAGAATGTATCGTTCTCCAGAAGTATGCTCCCACGAATACATGTAGTCGTCGCAACCAGTTAGGGATACGACGGCGTGGGGGGGGTGGAGGGAGAGGGAAGTGGAGTGAGCTCTCCCGCAGCTGCGTTGTCTACCAGAAAAATCGTTTGGTGATCGTTCTAGGAAGGAAACCACTAGTGCGGGGAAAACCCCGTGGGTGCTCGGTTCGCCTGGCACCCAACATCTGAATGGGCGGGGGGGGAGGATCGTGTCGGACCGCGGAAGGGTTAGAGCATGGCTTTTCCAAAAAAAGGGTGAGCTGCAGTAGTGAGATGCCGAACAGTCACTGATTGCTGAGACTAATTCATGGCTTTTGCTCTGATGACACCTGAAGGGACCCCTAAAAACAGGGGCAAGTTGCAAGCTCAGAAATGGGGAAAGGCAATGAGAAGGAACATGGTAGGCGTCATTAATTGATAAGCAAACAAGCGTAGTATGCGCTCAAACTTTTCGGAGCCATAGGTTACACCAACTTGCATGGAAAAGCCTTTTCCAGTAATTACACCTTTCGAACACTTCTGCGCGGGGTCGCATGCATGGCGCGATGCAGAAGGGGATTTCGGACGGGCCAAGTGAATTATTTCCTAACTGTTACAACCAAAAGATGTTCAGAAGTTACACAATCTTCAAACGAACTGGAAATGGTACTGCAAGGGAGGGCTGGGTTTTCCGAAACTTGCCACAACAAAACACCCGGGAGTCTCTTCCGTTTTTGGTTTCTCAAGGGAAGTAGAAAAGAGGAGCTCAGCATCAGATAAACATGAGAAACAAAGAGAAAGGGGTTGAATTCAGAAAGAAAAAAACATGAAGGGAAGCTGGAGTTTGGTACAATTGTAGCGCGACGTCGCGCTACAAGTCTGAACGCTGCCGCTGGGCGCTCTTCCTTCTTCTGTAACGGTGCGGCTTCACCGGCAGTCTGAGGTACATGTTGACGGAAACTCGAAAACTGGTTCGTCCACGCGACCCCTCCCCATACCAGAAAGAAAGGGTGTTCCCCTCCATTTCCACTGCTACGCAGTTAAACTTGCCCTCTTATAAGGAGTAATTCGCGTCGTACTCCGAGATTCGAGCGCGCTATCTCACCCTACACTACCATGAAGACCTTTTGAAAGGTTGTAAATTCCTCCAATAACAATATTTTGCAAAACTGCAGAAGAGATTCGTGATTACATGGGAGTTTCTAGTAGAGGTAAAGTGACGTTGAACAGTAATGGGTTACGGCTGCGACGCGCGCCATGAATTTCGTGACAGACAGACAGGCTGACAGACAGTCAGACAGACGGACAGACACGCGCACACGCACATAGCGGAAGGATAGGCAACGGATATATAAGCGGAAGGATAGGCAACGGATATATACAATGAGTTCCTGCGACAAGTCAGGTCATCGTCACACCTTCCTCCCCATATTGCAGGACCACGTTTTGAATGTAGTACGACCGCCCTGATCACGTACCGGATCACCTTGAACACTGCAGGGGTTCTAGACCTAGTGTTTCGCGGACAGTGCCTTTACATTCAGATTTAAAACTTTTTTACTCGTGAATTCTTATAAATTCGTATAAGTCTACATCCGTTCTGTGCTGTTCGGGTTCTTTTTTGTTGTCTTCTTTGAGCTGTGTTTCGTCTTCTGTTTGGTGTTTTGTATTTCTTTTTCTCTTTTTTTCTCTTTCTTTTCTCTGTCTTTTCTACCTGATTTACATGGTATCAAGGAATGTAACCTAGAGCGCATATAATAAATAAATAAAGCCCTCGGAAACATTTCATTTCGGCATTCGATTCATTACTAGGGCTTTTGAGTAACCTGACGACGATTATAATACTCAGTTTCGGTCCTGAATCAGCTTTGCCCCGAAGATAATGGTCCTTGCCATGGTTTACGTGAAGTCCGCAGCTGTTACTGGGCGTGTTATCTTCTCTGCGAAAAGTGCACGGAATCTGGGAGGATAAAAAGACCTTGCCTGCGAAACTCTGCGCGCTGCTGCGGTTGCCAGCCACAGTTCCAACCGAGCCGGGACTCACCCTTTCCTCTACTTGACGAATCATGATGACTGATTATTAACTGCTGATTTTTTTAGCAAATTTAATCGGACTAAGGACTACAATTAAAAAATTTGAATCACATGAAGCAATCAAAGATGGAAAACATGTGTAAAACGAATTCAACATGCGAAACACATAAATTAGGCTTGGATGATTAGTGTCAGTCTAAAAAGTCTAGACATTTTCACAATATTCGGTCCGCTTCGATTCTCGAGTATGGCGCCATTTCGATGGGATACATAGCATCGAAAGTGCCAAAAAAGAAACATGCACCAAAGGGAAAGGGTAGTGGGTTTGTACTGCCGGAGACACTCATGGAAAATATAAATTGGTGGGAACGGAATAAAGGGAGGTGTTTTATCGTTCATGCTCTACTCCGCGTTACACAAACAACATTGCTAAAGATTTCCGCTGATCACCCTGCTTAAATACTGTTTAGCGACGACCTTTATATAGGTGTGAGGTTGATAAAAGAGATGCCTAACAGTTTAACGTAGTGGCGGTCATATTTAACGAATTAACCTCCCTAAATAGAGGGCATCAATAAAGTCCTGCAATTGCAGCGAGTTCTTGGCGCAAGACACAACCGTCAAGTAATTACAGAGCCTAGAAGTTCATATCATTTGGGATACCTTCCATGATGAAAGCATACGAATTTTTTCAATACGTGCCCCTTTTTTCCTATTTGGATTGCAGTAATTTCATGTTATGTACGTCTGCATTTCAGTTGTTGTAAAGTATTTAAATGTGTTTTTGACATTTTAAATTTATGAAAACATCTTTTTTCTGACATTTCCTACGTTTATCTTCATTTTTTCCTTCTACTTTCCATGTTAGGTTTGGCTCAGCCGTGTCTGTAGTCGAGAGATCAGGAGTTAGTGAGAGAGCAATTAAGTCAGGTAACACCGCAGGCGAGTCTCCCCAACAGGCATGATAGGTGTGAAGTGAGATCTTTTAAGAACGTCACACACCCCAACCCGGGTTCGAATCCCGGGTCGACTCCTGCCCAGGCCAACCAAGCCTTCTACCCTCCGGGGACGGTGAATTGGTACCAGATTCGTCTGGGAGGATAAAACACTGACTTGTACATCGGCTGGCCACCGCAAGTCATTGTATAGGCCACATCGCATTCAATAAGCCCACTACGCAATTCGGAATGGATAAGAATGCGTGCCGCATCCCGCAAAGGGATTGATCAACGGCGAAGACTTTATCCTTTTTTTTTATTTCATCCAACTCTACCCGCAATCGCTACACCTTGTGAATGGTGCTTGCGGAGTCCCAAACGTCATCCAGTTCAACTACCTTTCGGCCTCATATCCACACACTCTCCAGTGACAAAATGTCTTACAAAATGGTTTGAACTTCCCAAGGAACTTTGAATGGAGACCTAGGTACATCGATAGAGCCTCGAATGCTGGTTACGAATATGCAGATTAAAAGTGCTACGGCGACCTCCCAGACGAGATCTGGGTGGTCAAAGTTTTTGAGTTCTGGCTCGTAAGCGCTGCTGATCGGTGAGCTTGGGCAGTGCCACCGTGGCCTCGTGGTAATGGTTTCGCTTTCAAGTCAAATGCATACGGGTTTGCATCCGGTACTCGCAAAAATTTTTGCTTTGCTCCGTATAATGAGCTTCAACTCAAATTTTTGAAATTCTTCCGAATTTACGGCCCAGCAGGGCAAGTAGATCAAGTACATCAAGTATACGACGTACTCGATCTAGTATGGATTTGGTCATATCTGCCCTCTCTGAACATATTACCCATACCGACAATTCAAAGTTTGCCCAGAATCGCAATTTGGCCAGACGAGCGTTTTTTCGTCGAAGGATGTGATATTCGTGTTCAGGGGGTCGAAATCTCCCATGAACGAATTTCTCGCTAAAACTTTGAATTGTCGGATGGGTATATGTTCAGAGAGGGCAGATATGACCACATCCATACTAGATCGAGTACGTCGTATACTTGATGTACTTAGAGTTGAAGCTCTTATACGGAGCGAAGCAAAAATTTTCGCGCCAACCGGATGCAAACCCGCATGCGTTTGACTTGAAAGCGAGACCATTACCACGAGGCCACGGTGGCACTGCCGAGGCATCGATCAGCAGCGCTTACGAGCCAGAACTCAAACTTTGACCACCCAGATCTCGTCTGGGAGGTCCCCGTAGCACTTTTAATCTGCATATTCGTAATCAGCATTCGAGGCTCTATCGATGTACCTAGGTCTCCATTCAAAGTTCCATGGGAAGTTCAAACCATTCCCTTGTTAGATGTACAGTAGCCAATCCAAGATGTACAGTAGCCAATCCACTCTTCTCGCACGCGGCAAGTATCGTAGAAAATTTTGAGGTCATAGTCGTAATCAGCCAAAATTCTCCTCATTCGATAACTAAAATACATAACAGAATCAGGCGAAACGAGTCAGAGCATAGAAAGATTTATTAAATTTATTAATGTGAATAGCAAACACCCGTGTATGTACAT